GTTACCATGCCGGACTGCCACGCAGAGGTCCCAGGTTCGATTCCCGGGCCGGGAGAAATAGTTGTATGGCCTACAATTATTTCTCTCGTGAGTTTGGGAGTAATTTGTGGTTGTCTATATGTGTGTCCATGGCACCCGCGACACAGGGTTTCGCGGGGCTATGTTGAGTGTGTGCGTTATTTATTTATTTACTCAATGCTCAAGTCAGGATTGCACTGGAAACACAAGTACTGGAAATACGACCCTAATGGCAGGGACTTGAGTATGATTTCGAGTGCTTTAAACCATACTTAAATCCTGACTTGAGCATTGAGTAGAGTTCTAGAATACGGCCCTTAGAGGTGGAATATTTTCTTCAAATTTAAATGAGACCAATACTAACGTACCCTCTTTCCAACATAAAAAGAATCATCGTAATCAGTTCACAAATCACGTAACATGCATACATACAAAACAAAATACTGTTGAATTGAGAACCTCCTTCTTTCGAAGTCGGTTAAAATAAGGCTGTCTACATTAATTAACAGAAAATGACCAAAAAATTATGTTGGCGTACTTCACACATTTTCCAAGGGACTTTGCCTTTGTGCCTTATTCGAAGTGCAGGTTTCCTCGTGACATTTTCGAACTTTAGAAATCAAAATCATAGGTATATGTCGCCACAGGCAATGGAACCGTTGAGACACCTTTAATTCATATTTTTAACAGACTTTATTTATTTAGATATTTTTATTAGGTAGGTACTTACTCAGGTTTCGGTTTTTCTCCTTTAGGTATTGAAAAGTTCTGAAATTCTAGCCGCACACGCTCCAAATTTTGTGAATCTTGCATACCATATATAAAATATCTGTAACACAACACACAACTTACTTTTTCGGATCTAAATTCGTTTATATTTGTCCTTTCAAAGAAATGCAACTCATGATCCCAACAAAACGAAATGTTGATTTGTTGGAATCAATTAAATCAATATATTGATTTAAGTTCTTAGATTATACTGTAAATAAGACTGAAATTAAATTGCACTTAATCAATCAACTAACTAATTAATTTATTAGTCAATTTAGTTATTTATTCATTACTATACGTACCTACAAACAACTTTTTGTATATAAGGAAAAGGATAATTTGGATGGTACACGTATCCTGTCGACTCCTTTTTACTGAGAATCTTCTGATCGCACTCAGACCCCCTAATGTGCTCGGCGTCATGTTTACTTATAAAATCTGAAAACAAATTATTAATTATTTATTAATTAATAATTAATTTGTAAGAGGTACAGCCCGTGCAGCTAAGCACGGGCTGAAGTGCAACTCAAAAAAAGTGATCTGCTTGTTGTAAAGGCAGGTAAATGCTATCCAGATGTTGTACCATCGTTAACGCTTGGTGGCACGCCTCTTAATAGAGTTGATAGGTTTAAATATCTTGGTCACGTTATTACTGACAGCATGAAAGATGATCTGGATATTGAAAGGGAGCGCAGAGCGCTGGCTGTGAGAGGGAATATGCTGGCCCGTAGATTCACTGGTTGTACAAAAGACGTGAAAGTTACGCTTTCTAAAACTTTTTGTCAGTCAATGTATGCGAGTAGTCTATGGGTTAGGTATACACAGCGTACATACTACGCAATACGAGTGCTTTACAATAACATCTTTAGGATGCTGTTGGGACTGCCACAGCACTGCAGTGCATCCGTCAGTGTATTTGCTGAATCCCGAACAGAAGACTTTTATGCTATCAGGCGTTAAAAAGTGCCGTCTCTGCTAAAGCGAGTGCGTGACAGTGGCAATGGCATCCTGAGGATGTTTGCCCATCGTTTTGACAATACAATTTTAAAGTTTTGGGTAAACATTACAATTGGTCAAATTAAGTAATAATTATGCATTTTCCAAATTTTAATATTTAAATTTTCTATCAATATCTCAAAATTCAATGTAATCATACTAACATAGTTCTAAGTTTTTCTTTTGTAACTAACACCATTATCTTATGGGCTATGGCCTGAAATAAATGGTTTATTATTAACATTGTCAATCCATTATACTATATTATTTATTATCAGTGCAGTAGAGCTCCTTGTGAAAGGGTTCGTCCAGGGAAGGACTGCCACTATAGAAATTTCTACCGCCAATCAACAATGTGAGCATTACTACCGGTTTTGAATGGTAAGGGTGCTGGTGAAATTACGGGCACATGGAATTATCAAATTTATTATTTTATTTTTATTTATTTATATATTTACTTTCAAAAGACCCATAAAACATATACCTTATAGACTAACATACATAATAATATGATAAAAACTATTTATGTGACGGGCACAGTGGCAGTCCCCAGATCTTTGCAATTTAAAGCTCCGAGTGCAACTACAGATGTTATACGTACCAGCAGGTACACAACTTGCTCATTTCATCGTTTAGTCTACAAAACAAATTTAAGCTGTGGCCGCCCCAACTACTCAAAACAATTAAACCCATTGAAGCTAAATTCCTTTATAAGATTGTGCCATCAAGCCTTTGCTGTGTAAGATTTTCAAAACAAACAAGATTTGTTATAAGTTACAATTATTTGCATACAAAAGATTTCAACGCACTCAGGAAAAAATCTTCAATCATACATTGTTTTTAAACGCATAGTGTGACAACCACACGCATAGTGTGACGATCATATTTGTGGTTGTGTAGAGCATAGAACGCTTAATTACGTTACATATTTGAAAGTTTTAAACTCTATAACTATCTGCATAAAGTTTAAAAGACATTAT